ATATATACACATATATATATATATATATACACATATATATATACACAATGCAACTCTAGTCAGGATTTCGCTCATCCCAACGCAGCACCTCAGTAGATTTATTGGAAAATAAATGCATGGTAAATCCTAACAAGGGGCTGGAATGCAGACAGTCTTTAAAAATTAAAAGACCTAAATGATTTACAGGTAAAGCTGGCAGTGGAAGCCCTCCACAGCATCAGTGCAGTCTAAACTAAAACACTTCCTGCAGCAAGAACAATCATAACAACAAAAAGGATACAAGAGAAGAAGTCATTGATTGCAGAGAAGGAAGTGATGTTTGTTGCCGATGTCGTCGTGAAGCAGCTCGTCAATTTGACGACACTCAGTTGGTGATATCTAACAAAATAAAGAAGAAGGTGACTATAGGATCAAAATGAGAACATATTAACTCTGCACATCTATCATGCTTCATCTCTGTCTGAGCTATGCGACTGTTAAAGAGTGTTCGCTACCCTTTAACACTGATTTTTGATTTAGTTTTTCCATTCACAAGATGTATCACATGTATAACTACCTAAAGAAGATAAAGATGAATCAGCAACATGCGCTGCTAAAACATATAGCATTTACGTGCAACACTTCCCTGGTCTCCAGCATAAGCCCTGACAGCTTACAGTCCACAGACAAGCATTTTAGGTGGTAATGAGAAGTGTGTGGTAGAAGCTAAATAAAGCCAGACCCTCGTCAAATCAGTAACAATGCTAGCTTAAGCAACAAAGCCCTTCACGGAGGACATAAGTCTCAGGAAAGATCAATCCTTTCATCTATATTCCCCTTTTACCTGCATTGCAATATTGTTGCAATCAATATATTTTTATCTGTATTACAATACATGGGTGACTGGAAGTGAAAAGTGGCATATGATTAGTTTAAATCCGTGAAAAATGCCCTTACTGCCCTGCAATTATTGTTAATGTTCTCTTGAGAAAGGCACTTAAACCCCAATGTGTCAGTGTTACTGTTTAGAGGCCAACAAGAGTGTGGTCATAACATGCATCGTTGAGGTGTGATTGTACGCCAATGTGATTGTGTATTGATATAGAATTATGGTATGATACTTCGTTACCAGGCCGGTACCATGCCCTACATTTCTTTCAACTGCATTCTCCCAATGGCTTCCAGGAAAGATAGATTAACAAATACTCAAATACAAGAAGCACAAGCAGTAAATACACTATTGATTACAATAAAATCCCTTGTTTCTTGTAAACAATGTTTATACAGACAAAGAGTACATTTTGAGATGATTTAGTACAATGCAACAACTAAGATGTTAATAATAATGAATGGTTGGATACATTGTCAGTAATGGTTATTGTTGATTCCCCATTGCTACACTGTCTTTAACACTAGAAAACATGCATTTCTGCTGTTAACTGCATTAGACCAATAGTGTCATATGACTACCAAGCTGTGACCAGTGGGATCCAGCTTGGACACCGAAAGAGACTAGACTCTAGTTCAATCAGTGTTTTTTGATTTATTTATTTGTTATTGAATAGCGTAATACATTTTTATATTGGAACAATAAATTACATGGTAAGACAAATTCAAATCCCATAGCTAGTATATGCATCACTATCAAGCATACATACTAAAGTGTTCTGCATAATGATCCCTTGTAATTACCTTTTGATGTTGTCTCGTGTGGTGTCCACATTGTACAGGTACGAGTATAGAGAGGGTCCAGATGCCAGGAGCAGAAATTTGTCGAGGTAATAAAACTGAGCACCTCTAATGGGTTTGGAGAACATACTGTCGCCCTAAAGGAGAAGAGACACGAGACAAAAATCAAACAAGTCTTTTACAATTATTGAGACATTAATGATAAAACAAAATATATTACTAAAAAATAAATATATTCCAATTTTATTTTATAAGAAGAAAAATTCAAAAGAATACATTTTATTTTGCTCATGTTCTTTTTTTTTTATTATTTTGAACGTCACTGAAGTAAAAAAATCAAAGACCTCGAGAAACTCAGGTTCTAAATAGTTTTGTCTAACTTTGTACTCCAGGTTGCCTGAAGGGGATTCAAAGCAAAGCCACGGCTGAATTCTTAAAGCAATAAAAAGCTTTAATAGTAAGCGCTGTACACCACTATAGCTGTTTAATTGCTCAAAATGACACATGCAACACCCTCAATTGGGGAGAGAGAGAAACCCACGAGAATAAAACGTGAATGTTTGCTCTAACACTAACAACCACCATCTTCATTTTGTTGTTGCCTTTACAGTTCATATTTCTTTCTAGAGTTGTTCAAGTATAACTGTGCAAAGCTATTTGTGATTCTGGCTCACCCCGACACAACTCTTGTCCCTGAAAAGACATTTGTTGCCAAGTTCTTTCACAAGAACACCAACCAGTCAAAGGCGGCAGACCTGGCCAAGCTCAAAACAATCTCACTAAGGGGAGCAAAGCAGGTTTGCTAAGCATCAGCTATGGGGAGACCCCAGATTTTGTTTGCACTTGGCAAGGGGAAATAGACACACTTCTGACTGTCCCATTAAATGTGATACCCAATGAAGTAAGGAGGGTCTGCATATGATCAGAGTTTTGGATGCTCTGAATGCAGGAGATACTTTGAATGACAAAGTCCCTATCCATGAGTCATGAAACACACTATTTCATTCTCCCAATTAATTTTGTTCTCTCTTATTATTTCCAAAAGTATAACTACATTAAAAGGAAAACATGAATAAAGCAAGTTTTTTTTTAATCAATATGTCAAAGATACACTTTGAACATTACACAGAAATTGTTACCAAAGTGCGCCAAATAATTTGAGAATGTTCATCATAACATCTCTTACCTGCATTTCACCACCATATAATAGAGTTAACCCTTTCCATCACCCGTAATATGCATCTCTTAATACCGGATGTAACTTAATCACAAAATCCAAACCTGAGACATTATACTTTGAAAACATTTTCTTGAGAACAACAAATGAAAACATTTTTACTGAGAGTGAAAAATGCGTACAGCTTGTGTCTGTAGTAATTGTTCTATACTTCTAAATCAATTTGAGTTTTAGACCTTCAGAGAGCGGACATTTTTACAATATGAGGTCACTCTGGCTAGTCTTCATTTCACAGTTTCTTTGTGAATAGGACTTGAGCAAGGGGATGTTTGATAAGGACTTACATTAGGGTGTATAAGATTAGGGTGATAGGGACTGAATGAAATCCATCAAAAAAAGAAAATAAATACAAGGTTGTATTTGGGAATGCATGGAACATTTACCATGATAATGGCTGGCTCTGGGCTGCCATGGGTCCAGATTCGTAGTGACTGGTCTTCTGACGCACTCAACCACCACTGTCTGTTGAGGCTCCAGCTCACACTGCTCACTGGCTTGTCATGCCCTGCTTATAAAACGGAGAGGTTTGAAATTATCCTGAAAACAGCGTGTGGCTGCAACATTTACTTTTATGGTGCTGCTCAGGGAGTCTGGCAGAGTGCAGAGAAGAGGCACACGGTGACCTACTGGTCACCTCAACTTCTGTCCTCTTATCTCTGCTGCCCCTTTGTGGAGACTGTGTTCCCAAATGCACTTAAATGTTCAAGTGCGAAAGACATGCTAGACAATGATGGCCATCCTTTCTTTGCTGGCCTGTGTTTACTTTACTGCCTAGGATCACTGGGTGGCAGACAGAATTGACTGCTCTTAGTATTGTTTTAATTTCTGATACTGTGTGAAATTCTAAGAAACTATATCATGTCAAACATAGTTGGTCTCTAAAGCCGTGCCCTTTTCATCTTTCTTTTTCTATCATCACCTTGGTTTTACTGTCTGGCAAAAACAAAGACGGCATGTACTAAATTCCTGCGTTGGAATACAACCAAAGCACGCTTTTTCCGGTAAAAGAGAACTCTTTATCTACTACTTTGACAGTGATAGCTGATAAAGTCAATATTTGGAAATGTGTGGAGTCTTTCATCTTAAGCCATGGATCCATTTCAAAGTATGTTCATCAAAAATATCCCAAATAAGGCTGACCTAAATCCAAGTAATAAATACTTCTTAGTATTGTCATCCTCCGCATCTTCAGGGGTAAGATCTTAACCTTTGATGACTGTGTCAGTTAATAAAACCCCATCATGAAAGATATCATGAATAATGCATAAAAGGAATCATTTAAATGCACTGCTTAAAATAGCACTGAGGTGACTGAGGGCAAATACTGAATAACCCTGACGTTTGGCTAAGTATGGATACTCATGACCACTTCATGCACCTGTGTAGACAGTTGGATTGCCAGCCAGGGAGTTCTTGTACAATAACACTGAGCTGTCGGCAAGACCACACAGTATTTGTTTTCCGTCACCTGGGAGAGACGAGGAAACACAGGATCGTTTTATTTGGATTCTTCAGTCAACAGACGATTTATTATTAACAGAAATCAAGAACTCTGTCTTTAAACGTAGGGGGGAATTTAGTTTAAACAGGAACACTTATCCTTAAAAATGTAATATAATTCTTTAACGACAACAACTGCCAACTATACTTCATAAATGATTGTTTTACCTACATTCAGCCTTCCAGTAGAGGATGGACAAAACTGGATGCAGTATGTAACCCTTTTCTGTTTGCAATGCAATGCCTCAAATGATGTTACTGCTGACAAAATACTACGAATTCAGGATCCAACGGATCTTCACAATCCAAATAAATGTCAAATGACATCATTCAATGCCATCATGTTGTTGTAGCATCATGGAGGACCATCCTACAGTCCAGAATCATGATCATGGGACAGTTCTTAGTGTGTAACTGAGAGCTCAAACGAACCTCAAGTAGCTTAACCTTTACACAGATATAATCAAGATCTAAGACTCACTTAAATATATCATTATATTGTGTTTAATCAGTATGTCAGTATGCAGCAGCTAAATTGTCTCACCTGAATACTGAAGGCAGTGGACTGGCTTATTGCCAATGCTTAGGTGAATGTGTGAAATAGTAGGTGCTGCACTGTCTGCTGGATAATCTCTGAGGAGTGAACCTCTAAATGACAAACAAAAGGTTTGGTGTTAATACCAACTATAACATTTGAAGACTTTCTCAACATTGTATTTTAAATGATGGGACTGCTTACTTATTTTTCTTAGCCTTTTGAGAGGAGGGATTCTTCTGGCTATTTGTTTTCGGTGAAAACATCATATTTCTGAAAAGTGAAAACAAAATCAAAATATTCCTGCGATGTCTCCTGCATCATTTGATTCATCAAACCTCATTTCTTACTGTATGTTTTGGATATGGTGCATTCAACTTCATTTTTCATTTCAATCTTCCTCTCACTTGAATTTACATTCAAGTTTTTTTTAACCTGAATCCAAATTTAAACTGTAATTTGATTTTCTATTAGGCAACAAGTTGCTCTCTGAACCTACCTTGGGGGACTGTTGTATCCAGAAGACTTCACTTTTGAGTGGAAAACCAGAGGCTGCTCCTTTATTCCTCCTTTGTAAAAAGAACAAGGTGGTTTATTACACATAGACCAACAAACACAAGTATGTTCATGAGTATAAATGATCATATAATGCTCAAAACAAAAATGGAAGATAATAAAAAGACAAGAGTCCCATTTACAAATGAGTAGATATAACAATGTGAGTCAAAAGTTGAAGGAAAAGATGACCTCTGTTCATTAGTTTCCATAATTAGGATAGAATTACTCATGATATTGTGGTGGCTTTTCATGGATTAAACTAGGAAAGGAAGCTACATTATTGGGGGACCACTCCGTGCTGTGAGCATTAAGTGCATCAGCCCACAGCCCAAACTGTGGGATGGTTCATTCTGCTCCCTGTTCACTGTCAGTGCCTTTACTATATTACAATGAGCTCACTTTTTCCACAACCATTAAAATGTGTGAGGCTTTCCAAAAACTGCTCTCCAGTCAAATACAGGCAAAGCAAGAAAAAGTCACATTTTAGGATTTAAATTGCATCAGAAAAAAACATACGACTTGATTCAACACTCGTTTATCACTTAAGCAGAAATGTCCAAATGATTTATCCATTATTAATTCATTAATCAATTTAGTTGATCAACAAAACTAAGTAAACCTGGACAAGTCAACTGAGTATTTGAGCTTTTAAGATACAGCTCTTGAATTTCTTTCCATGCAATTATATATTTTACACAGCTATTGTCTTTTTCAGTGACAGTAATTAATTAATTGTGTAACGTGCTGCAGTTTAGTAACAGATTGCTATTGAACATGAACATGATTAAAGATTGATGGTACTGTAGTATAATCTGGTCACACTGTATGTCACACTGTATATGTGTACAGTAGTAGCTTATATACTATGTTTAAAAATGTCTAATGGCATTTGAATTATCCTTTAAAGGTTTTATAAAAGGAACCCTGATAACAGAATCCCTGATGAGAGTCGATAACAAGCAAACCTACGGTTAATAACTAATAATGGACATACCACATGTCCGTAGTTTTAATTTGCTAATACAGTATATCATTAAAGTCACAAACCCTGAACAGCTTAACAGGCTTGTGTGGCTGTGAATCATTGACCTAGTGTTTGAGTGCTAGTTGTCCTTAAGCTCTCAGACAATTAATACAAGTTAAACCAACCAGTCAGAATCAAAAAGGAAGCACATCTGGATCTCCTTTCAACCCTCTCTTATCAGAGTGTTTTCCATCTTTGATCAGCAGTGCCAATGTTCACTACATGTTTTTTTCCCTGTAAAGTACACTTGACAACCTCTGAACAACTACTATGTTCCCTTTTCTTTGGATTTTGAAGTGAAATGTGAGTTTGTCTAGGTATATGTTTTTTTTATTTTTGTCTGTCCAGCCTCGAAGGATAACGTTGTTGATACTATTCACCCCGTGTTGCCTCTGTGAAAGTCTTATTTTAATCCTTAGTTGAGATTTTTGCATGAAGACGTCTTCATTGCACGAGGTGTTTACAAAGCAAATGTCGAGGCTTTCGTGAACCAGGTATTGAACTTGGGTCAAACAATAGGCAAAAAGTACATAACAAATGCTTTTTCCGCTGGTCAATGAAAGGTCTTGTGACACTGGTTGCTCTCATGCTGCACCGTCCTCCACTATGATGTGTGTAAGGTGAGGTACTGGAAGTAACTTTTGATCCAGAACAGATTACATGCAGGACATTTTAGGCCACAAATCTAATTACCTGGCAACACAATCACTTGGCATTGCTTAACAGCCCCATTAACCATTATATTGATATATAACGGTCATTTAGTTTTATTGCGCAGTAAAGATCCCATAATTTATGCTGACTTCACGCTAGACGCTATTTGAAGCGAGGCTTCCAGACAAATTTCCAAATCGAGTAATACCTGCGTAAAATCACAGAGGTTTGCTGTGTGCTCTTTTTACAGCACTCATTATGTTAGACTTAGCCTGAGCTGTCTTAACCATTACCGCAACAACGCTTCATAATAATGACATTCATCAGTCTAGCTCAAAACATTAGGACGTTTAGCTACGGATGCAACAACTAAAGGAGCAGCAAATGATTCTCTGATCTGATCTGTCAGACCAAAAACCATTAGTGGTTGTTAATACTAACATGATTTAAAATATATATCACATGTTTGGTTTCTGTGACTTTAAGAAGTGACAATGATTTGTTTTACAGTTTGGTTTGTGTGCATTGGTAGGGACATGGCTCCGGCCAGCCCTGGAGTTTATTCTAAAACAAACCACTAACTCTAGTTTTCAGGAGAAGGGAAAACTCAGACCTCCCTCTGAGTTAGCTGGAATCACACATATGGAGCCAAACTAAGGGTCTGACAGCTAGATAAATCATGAAGCATCTGAAGAATATGCTGCTTATGTGGAACATATGTGTAGCATACTGGGAGGAAATGTTCAAAGAGGGCAAAGAATATACCACTAACCACAATATCAAACTTTATTAGACAGCTAGATGTGAAGTTGTGAACTACATTCATGAAACAATAAGGCACTCCATATAGTAGTTGCTGTAAAGCAGTGACTAATGGCATAGCAGTCAGAAGCATGAAACACTCTCCTCTATAATTCATACTGGATGTCATGGCCTCTCAGTCCAATGTGTGTCACAGATTGTTTTTTCCATCTCACTCTACCAAGAGCTAGTAAGGAATGCTTGATGCTCTATGGCATGTCACGGTAAGCCGATGCCTGGCAGCAGCCGTTCAGATGCTTTTGTAGATGAGCACCCAGTATTTTTACATAAATCTAAGCCCGCTCTCCTTTTGAAATTGTAGACATTGGTGACGTCTGAGGACAAAAGAAAAGTTACATGTTCCTCATAAAGAAAAACATTGAAATGGTAACAGTTTATGCCAACAGTTATTACTGTTTTGATCACTTTCTACTGAAGACTGAGATACATTTAAAGTCAGCTCTGAACTTGCAATGGAGGCCATTCAATGCCAATGGCTGCTTTAGTAGGCCCCTGATAGCCTAACTATAAAACAACTTAATCAGGCAAGACTCAGGCATTACACTTCATAAAAGTGACATCATGCAAAAAGTGAGGCAAGAGTCCTGGTTCACTTCATGATTATCTAATGAGGCGGTGAGATGTGACAACAGATATCTAGTCTGCACCAGGAATCGCGGAGGTTTATGGCGTAATTTGTATACAATTCTGCAGATGTATTTTAGAATATAGAGTTGCATGAGCGCAGCGTGGTGGGTTGCACTGGTCCGTAAATGTTTGCGGTTTTTGGTCCAACACTGCATTCATGCAGCACCTCTGGACTCCCCTGAAGATCCCCTACAGCATCTGGCACTGGCAGCTCCCTTCACTCCAGCTGTGGGGAGCCTGGCTAATACTGGCTTTCTCAGCAGTAGCTCTCTGTAACAGCAACATGTAAACCACAGTATATTGTACTGTAGGTCTCCAGCAGAATACTTTCAAGCTGCCAGATCCTAATGATACACCAAAGAACCACAAATAGGCCCACTTTAAAAAGGAATCCACTCCTGCAAGAAGCAACCGTACAACAAACTGAGCTAAGTAAAGAGAACGTATCGCGCTAAATGTGTTGTACTCTTGCTGTTGCATAATTTGAAGCACCTGCTTATGTGGCACATGAAAACGGAAGTAAAACTAATTATGAATGCCACATCTACACTACCCACAATGCAAAGCATGGAATCTTTTTCATCTTCCATATTTACAGATAATGAAGAGGTTCTCATGCGCTCTTGTAATAGCCAAGCACACTTTCTATAAACCTACAATAAGTTCATTTTAAGATAATTGTCTGTGTCCAAGCAAAACAGACAAAGAGCCAGATATGGAGTAAACTATAAAATGGGTCATACTTTTAAAACCAAGAGTGGTCAAACAGCAGTAGCTCCCTTTATTTCATGTGCATGAGCATAAGTGAGAGGGGACTGAGGGTTCAGATGCTGACCTTTCTTTTTAGGATGTTCAGGCTCCTTCTTCTTCAACTCGGCATTCAGAGGAGATTCAAGCAGTGGAGGAGAACTGAAAACAAAAAGGGAGGGGTGGAATTGGGAATAGAGTTACTGGAAATGAAGGAGCAAAGCATTTTCCAGCATTGTGGATCATTAGTCCTTCTAATTCTCAGTACCATATCGTTGACTCATGAAAAACCAGATGGCAAGAAAGGTCATAATATGCCAAGTTAACATGGAAGAGTCAGTGGGAGTTACAGGCAGGAGGCCAACTGAAAAACATACCACACTTTTGTATATATTGCTGGTGAGGCCAGGTGACCAGTGGCTGAGAGAGAGCAACAAAAGCCTACAACTGCACTGCTTTTTGCACATTTTAACAAGCTGACGTGATTGTTCTTTGGCTCATGTTAAAGCAGAAAAACACATCATGTTGATGAAATTATCAGTATGTATTGGTGCTGCTGGATTTTGCTAAATAATCATTTATGGAGGTACAGGTAATACCTGAATGAATTTCATTCCTTCTCCGGAGCACATTTTCTTCCTTTGTTGGCCTTTATAAAGCAATGTTATTGTGAGAGTAATAAGTATGATTTCTGGATTAATTTTGTACATACAGTACAGACGGCTTTATTAACCCATGCAGATTTAAATGCTAAGACGTATAAAAAAATGTTCACAGAGTTGAGTCATTCACTAAGTAGAGCGGATCCAGGCTGGAGCCAAATGATTACATGAGCTACAGAAAGCAGTGGTTTCCTCTTGTACTAGTGACATTAAATAATGTGCTCATGTACTAGTGCCACTGAATAAACAAATTACATAATAAGGGAGTATTATTTACAATACAAGCAGCTGAAATACACACAATGGTATTTAGCAGGTTGTTCTTGATCAAGAAAACCTGGGTTCCAGCCCGTGTACAGTAGATGCAAGGACCACGTGTCCATGAAACACTGACTTTTTACGAACAGAGCTGATTTGTTGCTTCGATCTCTTAATTGAAGGGAGCTGTCTTCTAGGGAGTCAACATACCAATATATACCAATGCAGCATCACTAAATATTTGCCCTTAACTCCAGGTTTACCTGGGGAATACCAAAAAGCCTTCACCACTAGCCCAGGTCCTCCTTAGGTCCCAGGGATGTAACTCCAACAGGACCACACATGGAGTAAACAGAGAGCTCACTAAAAACACCATCTGTGGGACAAGGAATTTGAGAATGAATTAATATTAAATCAGTATCATTCCATTATTATTCTAAAATGATCAAATTAAACTATACCTTCATTAATAATGTTGAGGAAAATAGAGACAATGATAAGTCAGGAGGGTTTATCCTGCATTACAACACCTAATTGGTTCTCTGTATGAACAGAACACATATCACTTTCCTTCAGGAGGCAAAACACAGTCAAAATAATATTTCACATAATCCTAGAGTGGATGGTGAAAAAGTTTAAGATACTAACAAGGGACTGACTTCAGTGGTTCATACTATAGTGACAAGGTGCAACCAGGCCTGCTGCACGCAAGTGCTCTGACTCAAAGGGTCAATTGCGACATGAGAACAATCTGATTAAGGACTTAATCAGATTATTAAGGACTTAATTGCAATCCTCTTTTAGTCCACACAACAGCATGGGCCAATTGAATGATAAAAGTCCAGTTGAAAGGACAATTCAGCAAAATGTCTTAATGGTTTATCAAGATATTATTGGCATTACTCACAGAGTTATCCCCGCCTGGAGAGATGGCCCACGACCCAGCCATTGTGATGCTTACGTTGGGGTAGTCTAGAACAACGAACATCAGTCATGAGTTTGGTGTCTGTAAATTACCTTTACATTATAAAATCAATCAGTTCTTCTTCTTAGAAAGATAATCGTGTATAACCTCTGCTGAAGTAGAGTAATGGTGCACTGGTTGTGCATAAAGGCTTAAAGATATCACAGTGGTACAGTAGCAATAGGAGACTTTACACCACTACCAGCCTACCTTTGAAGTTCAGTGCTGTAAGGAGTTCTGAGGTAGCCAGATCAACCACATACAGGCCATCAGAGCTTCCAATACACAACCAACTGTTGTCCCTGCAGGAGCCCACACAGAAGAGTATGGGAAAACAATGTTACAGTATTCCCCTTATAAGCATTTCTTGTTCAGATCATTTGGGGAAAGACAATGTAACCATATACTCAGGAAAAACATACTGGGATGGAGTAGCAGGACTTGAGGTTTATATTTAAGTTTCCTTTCACTTCATGTAGTCTAAACTATGTACACCCAGCACAGTGGAAACTACTGCCACATCAAGTAGAAAGGAGTGGAAACTTAGCTTGAAGGATCCTTTTCATCCACTTCCTGAGCTACATGCTGAGGCTATAACCGTGTCCGCAAAATTGTGCATTTTTAATGCATCATTATGTTCATGCTGAGCCTGTGCTTCTGTACAGGATGGAGACAATTACAGCCATTGTATGAGGATGTTTATGTGATAATTGGACCATAAAAATTGAGTGTTTGTCCAGCAGCGTTCATTGCCGTTAGGCACAATGGATTTATTATATTCTACCACTGGGGGGCGCCAAAGATCAAATTCTAAATTGTACACACAGTTGCTTTAACAACATAACTTTAGCACTGGACCTATTAGTATTTTGGATTAATGTGCTGTAAATGTTTGAATGATAAAGACTCACACAAAAGTAGACCTGTGTCCTGTTATTTGATAGTGTTTGTGAAGTGTAGTTCTATTATACAAAGCAATAATTGCACTGATACTGTTATACTACATTTCAACAGTAAAAACAGAAAGTTACTCCTCCAACTGCATATTTATCACATAATACGCCTGAGCAAAATAGTTTTGTTGAATCCCATCAAATGGAAGCCAGTAAAACAGGGTTGCAGACAGACTTCAAGCAGCTGATGAACTAGAGTTTACGCTAAATCTTAAATATGATGTAGATGTTGCTCTGAGATCATATGCTTTCCTTTGGGCAATAAGGAATCAACGTCCATTTCATTCAAGTGGTTCACATAATAAACAGAGAGTTGTGTCCGTGCTTTTTAAGAGCCTGCTTCCTGTCATAACATCAAATGTTTGAACAGCATGAAACAAGATTCTGCCACGAGCCTGCAAAAGTTTCCTGTGTTGTGAGAAGTTTCCTTTGACGTTTTCTGTGACTGCATGGACACGTGCAGCAAGCAGCCCATTAAGATGTGCCATTCAGTTCAGGCTTTTTTTTCCCCCCAGGATTTCTCTGACAATGTGACAGCTACGAAGTGTTACTGGCAGAAATGTGCAGCTAACTGTGTTTGCATTGCTTTCGTGATATTTTCCTGGATCCCGTACAATTGACCTTGTGGAAATAAGAACAAATTGAGCCCTTGAGAATGGCAGCAGTGTTGACAGCATCATGTCTTGTTTCAACATTAAGATTCCTTGTCACAAATGAAGTGAAACAGTTTCAAATAATAAAGTCCATTCATCATTTTGAGCACTTGAGAGTGAGACTGGTCTCTATGCTGACACTAGGAAATTTCCATTCTATCTATGCATCCAACCATCCTGTAATGAAGGTTACGATATTGCAACCGTAGGTCCATAAGCACAGGTGGAGCCCTCTACTGGACACTATGGATAACATTCTCCTCCAATCACAAGTAGTGCTGAGTCAGGAGTCTTCTGGGCTAACCATGACCCAGAAATCTCATACCTACTATAAACTTCTCAGACTGTTTATCTATGGTATGGAGATTGTGCACTTACTTTTTATGCTCACTACTGGTGTCAGGGAATGAGTTACATAAAGCCATTCTGAGGACTGGTTTTGAAGTCTCCACATTATCTACAGCTGATTGTTCTGCGAACCCTGCAAGAAAATATCAAAATAGCAGTGTATAAGTAACTCGTTCTAATTGATTTTCTCTTTCAGTCACGTAAATGAAAAGAGGTAGGATTTATGCAAAAGCATTTGATCCAAGTCAGTACTAGATATTCTCTGTCACTGATTGTTCGATAGATTAGTAACATCACCTGATTGATCGCTCACAGTACCTTGGTGCGTTTGATGTCTCTTTTCCATCTTCTGAAGGTCCATTTTGGTCACCAGGTGACACTTGTGGTCATCAGGGAGAGAAAAGCACCACAGCTAAACCATACAGAGACAGGAGTGTTACACAGCGTGTGGATTTGAATCGCATGACAGTGATTATGAGCTGTTAAGGGCTGTGTGCATCAGTCACTAACCTGTCCATCAGTGGAGCCAGTGATAATGTGCCTGTTCTGCTCTGAGAGGAACACACTGAGCAGTGGAGAGGCTAAAGAAGGGAAGAATTGGCTTTAGGTATGTTTCAATCATTTTGCAAGCCCTGACTCCTTTACAGCAGACACTTTACACAACATGCCATTTTAAAATTTTTATTTTACTAGCACAGTTTATAGTGCTTGAAATCTAGCCTAACCCGTGCTTAAAGATAAGCCTTGATTTGGATACTTGCAGCTAAGTCATATACTAACAGATCATGATTTTCAATGGATTCCACTGATAATAGTTATGCTAGTAGTAATATCATACCTGAAAGCACAAAAGATTGGTAGCAAACAGCTTCAGTTTTTAAATCCCACACCTGAAAAGAGATATGGAAAAGTACTTTCTAGTTATTAAAACTCAATTACAGTGCGTGTAATATTTGGTATAAATCAAAAATGTGATTATTTTTTACGCAGATTCAGTACTTTAAAAGTTCGGTCCTCTGATGTGGTGACAAGAATGTCTTTATTCCAGGGACAGAACTCTGCTGATGTTAGAGGTGCGAGGTGGCAGGTCAAAGTGGAGATCACTTCATGTCTCTGATGTGGAAAACAACAACAAATCCTGCATAAGACAAAGTGATGACCTACGATGGCTACTAAACCATCACGCAGAAACAATATTACACGTGTTATAGTAGAGATGTGTAGGGCCGCCCCCTCTTAGTCGACTAATCGGTCATTTGGGTCTTTTTTATGCTTTTTTCATGCTGACTGACTGATTTCCAAGACACTTATGAGCACATATCTTGATATATTGTACATACTGAGTCAACATATAGTGCCAACCAATGAACTGAAATGTATTCAGTAAGTATTTATAAGGGAAAACTGAGAAAACGTGCATCATCTTGTACCTTTGAGCTGAGAACATATACAGTTGCTCCTGAGCACGCCGCCACTCGTTCATCAGAGAAACAGAAGGAGAGATGGACCACTTCACCCAGTAAAGTCCCGATCACTGTTCCAGCCGCAACTCTACCTGCAAACAGATGAATTAGTCTGTTTGTATTCAAAGCAAATGAAGTTCACGACCATAGTGAGTGACGTATCTGGTAATATTTCACCAAAAGGCAGGTTTGTTGAGATTTTCAGTCAGGAAAAAGATCATACTTACAGTACAGAATATATGTGTATGTATATATGTGCGACAGGGATGCTCCATAACTAAGCAGGTTGTAGGAGCCATTTAGCGTGTATAATTATATGTTCTAGATATAGTTGTGTATACTTATGGACTACAGCATTTTGACCACTAGATGGTAGTGTGCACCTACTAGTCTATGAGGCAACACTGGTCAGGTGATGTGAGTCAGGTGTGTTAAGGTTACAGGTGAACAGGAAGATGGGTGAGCACAGGTGGAGGGAACTCAGGGTTCTTTTTTATTTTAACAGACATTGGAATAGCAAACTTAATCATGTAACCCTGTTTAACAGCAAATAATCTGGATTACTTCACATTCACATTCGTCATCTATTGATGTCTGCATTAAATGGGACCATCACTCAAAGATACAATACTGTATAATCAGCAAAGCATTGCACACACACACACAGAGACATATGTTCTCACCCGCATGTGTTCTCTTCTGGCACAATTCAATGTCCCAGACAATGATGTAGTCAGCAGAGGCAGAGCAGAGGAGAACAGGTCTGCTTCGTTTTCCAAAAGTCATGGCACTGATCTCACCATGGTGGCCGGTTAGCAGCAGGGGCTGTGGACAAACATTCAAGTTAGACTCTAGTGTTTGTAAAATACACAATGCATTTGGACAAATTCTTTCTGTGGCTCCTGGATGATGGATTAAGGCATTAAGAGATAAACCTTATCTTTCTCACTCTTAAAAAACAAAACAATACAAATGGTATGACCAGATGTTATTTGTCTCACCAGGTTGTATTCCAGTTTAAATCCTGAAATGTTGTTACAGAGGGTAACATTATAGCCTAACAATTAGCAGTCGTTTTGTGCAATTAACCAAACTTTGTGAACAAACCTTCTGCTCTGTGTCCATATTGCTGTAGATCAGCATGTCCTTGCCATGCAGTGGTACACCACAGCAAGAGTGACAACATGCTAGCTGTCTATGAGACAGAAGCCGATCACAAGTTAAACTGAGCTTTTCAATCACCATCTTTGCTCCTGTCTTTGCCACACAAAGTGTAGTGTGTGTTCCGAATATAACGCTAATTAGTTCCCGTTTAAACGTCGCCAAGAATTCATCTTTCAACCACAAGCGGTAACGTTACTTCAGTGACTTTTGGTTTCATAAACAGTTACATTGAAGTTAAGTTATGTTGGGCTAATGACGCAGACGCTTTAGTTTACAGGTGGACACGTGTTGCAGGTTGCTAGGACACGACGCTAATTTCCGTTACAAAAGATGGTCTATAGCAGAACGACGTTTCACACACAACAAAACAAAAGTAACCTCATCATGGTAAATATGCACTGACTCTTGTTTATTATATACGATAGGCATCGTCAACGCTTCCAGTATGTTAGAATATCTGAACACTACAATTTTTTGGGTGTGCCTCTACTTTGAAGTAGAGTCACAGTAGAGTCAGAGTGGGACTTCTGTTATATTATATTCATGGTTCTCGTCTGTTGTACCTGCGTTTAACCACACAACGGCGATCACAGCTCACTTACTCACTCA